GCACACCACTTATGTAAGCAGCTTCGGTTTTTTTTAATTGAAATGGTATAAAAGCACTTGTAATAAAAGGGGACTGGAAAACTTCCTAGAGAATAAGGTTATCAGGGGCTTCTCACCGTGATCGGGTTTTTTTTATTGTGTAGCAATGTTGGTGGGAAAACATGAGGGACAATTATGTCCTCATGTCCTATCTATGAGCTTCCTATTGGCAGAGCTTTGCAGAAAACAAAATTGTTGGCCTGAACCTGCACTGCTTTGCTTATTTTCTTATGTACTCTGATTAAATCACACTCTCTGCTGCAATCTAATTTACCCTTTGGTTTTCAACCGTGTCCAGCAGAACTTTTCATATATCTCATTGGCCCCCTTCTGTGTTCCTAATTGGGATGGGAGGGAGAATATAAATCACTGTAACTAAACTATTTTGACTACCCTGAGACAGCAATGGGACTTAGCTTTCTGTGAAAAGTTGCAATGTTATACTGGGGCCCCATTAATACCACCCAACTGAATATAATCAACCTCTGTCAAGCAAACCATCAGTGCTTTAGTATTAGTATTCCTCTCTATTATCAACAAATAAACAAACCAAGTTCTCCAACTGAAAATTAGTGAGAGCAGGAAACAGAATCCCATGAAAAGGTAAGCACGGATTACATAGCATATTAAGCATCACAAACACACACATCATATTTAGAAACATCATGTGCTGTCCATTCTACCCTGCACTTGTAGGAAAACATTAGGAAGAGAAAAATGTCCTTTCTATGAAAGCAATAATAATTTCAGCAATAATTTTCAGGATCAGAATGTTGTGGAGCTCCACTGAATGCAGTTTATGGCTTAGCATTAGCATTATATAGAAACCAGTCATCCACAGCTTCATTCAAAATACCATAACATTGTTCTGTATATAAATCCAGCTAATAGATGATGTTAGTGGGGCCAGCAGAGACCCCACAGAAATCTATCTCCCTAAATTTTAGCCCAGGATTAAAACTGTCCACCAGCTTTATCTAGCAAAGAGCCCCTTCCGTACTCCTGCAATCCTCTCTTTATATTTGCTGTTAAACAAATTAGAAGAGCTCAATTTTGCATGATTTTTGCAGGAATGGGATAGTGGGATCCACTTGTCATTTTGTTCTTATTGTACAAGTCTGAGTATCTGGTGAAACACACACACACACACACACCAGAGGTGGTATTCAGCCAGTTCTGAAGAACCAGTAGTGGAAATTTTGAGTAGTTTGGAGAACCGGCAAATAGGCTGGCCCCGCTCCCACTGCCTCCCAGCTGATCTTCTTTTGTTGCCCTGAACAGGAGAACGGAACTGGAAAACAGGTTAGTGGGGGGGGAGGGAATGGGGATTTTGCAGTATCCTTCCCCTGCCACACCACAAAGCCACACCCACAAAGCCACACCACACCCACAAAGTCATGCCAACAGAACCGCTAGTAAAAAAAATTAAATCCCTCCACTGACACATACACACACACACACACACACACACACACACACACACACACACACACCAGTAAAGACTCCTGTGTCCACAAATTTGTTTTGAATTACAGACCTGAACAGAGCTTGAGTTTCCTTCATACAAAAACCCATGTAGGTTATTCTGAACTTTTGAGCAATGTAAAATAGTGAGGAGTGGTGGTGTTTTAGTAAAAGAAATACAAGTTGGAAATCTTATCTGCATATCATGTAGATATCTAGCAAGAGTCCCAGTCTTTGTTATGAGATGATAGGGAGAGATTGCAAACTAATAGCGTGGGTCAATATAACTTGGGCTTCCTGCTTTTTTCAAACCATTCAGGATTACCAAGTAAGATTGATGGGCCACATGAACAATTCTTAAGGATGCTTCAGACTGAAGGCATCAAGGAGAAGGAGGTCTGCTTTATTTTTGCAGAAGCTGTCTGGGATGCATGCAGACTAAACACTGACCTTTGCTCCAAGAGGACCTTGAATGAGGCAAGGGGCTATAAAGGACACCTGTGCTGTCAAAACATGGTCTGCCTCCATTGCCCCTTCATCCACAATATTTTGCTTTTACGACACCTCAGAACCGGGTACCAAGAGGGGAGAAGGAGAAAGGAAAGAATCAACGGCAGATTCTCTCCTTCCTACCTTAGATGCCAGGCCTTCTTGAGTCAGCTGTATGTTGCAATTCATCACAAGATGATTTTACAAGACCTCCAAAGCAAAAACCAAACGATCAAACATTTAATTTCCTTCCCATCACAAAATGGGAAGTCAGGTCCGTGGGGTTCTTAGTCATGCCAAACAATAAAGCTACATACAGCCAATGAGAGCCTTCCGGTTTTCCATATCGGTGTGGGATAGCTGAACATAGATAGGGCAGAGACAAAACAAGATTCTTCTTTCCTTGCTTGGCATTTTGCAATGCTTTAACAAATAAGAATTTGTGAACATCTGGATTGGCAACAGGAAGAGGGATTTAAAAAAAGAAGCAACAACATCTTAATTCTGTCATGGCTGTGAGAAATCAAGCTAAATATTATCAAAACTTTATCAAGCTAAAGTTTTTTTTTCTATAGCAGTAATGTCCATACTGCATTATACCAGATATCTGTTGTTTTATTGAACAAATGTAAGGGATAGCCAGAGACTATAATTTTCTATAGCTATTGGACCAAAGTCTTTATTGAATCTTATTGAGAGCTATCATGCTGGAAAGAACAAAGAGCAAGACACAAACCTGGATTAAACTGTTGAACTGAAATGGAACTTGCATATTACATATTTGCAGTGTGCTATGTAGCCTTTTGGATGCTTATGTAGTCTTTTGGATCTGAGAGTCAACAGTTCCCTCCAGCCATTTTTTCAATGCTTTCATTATTATTTGATTAGTAGGGAATCTTAGCAAATCATATTTGAATCATTAGGCAGACTCTATGGCTTTCTGGGGTGACAGATCTTTGGCTGCCATTCAAAGGAACTAGTACATTGTACTTGGACTTTTTTTTTTTTTTTTTACAACAGAGCCAGAAAATCCTGGTCTGAAATCTGTGGCACTATCCAGCTATTATTACGTGAAGATTTATCCTGAGAAGGGGTTTTGCTCTGCCAGATGGCAGCAAAAATACCCAGCAGTGCTGATCAGCCTCCATAGCATTCCTCAACAATCTGACCTTACAAAACGGTTTTCTTGTAATCTCAAGGGATCAGAAGTTTAGAGTTGTTGGGTTGTTGTTGTTTTTCTGCAAAAGTATAGAAATCTTGCATGAGGTCTCACAAGATTTTGACCACGTGGAAGCCCTTGGGCCATTGCGGTCACTCCACCACCACCCCTAAGGCCGGAAAAAAGTTGCTGATTTAGGTATCCA